CCCGGGCCTGGTCACCTTCAGTTTCCTGAGGTAAATCACCATTATGCCTTATGATGTCCCCATGGAACCACGGGTCGAGGCCCACACAAACCCCATAGCCATCAGGCCATGGGGCTACACATAAACTCACTCACTCATTCGGGATTAGGAAGAGAAACCAAAAGTACAGTTACTTCCTAGATGGGAGCTTATGTGCCGAAAGGCTGATTTGAGACAAACATTTTAGTGCTGTAAGCCGGGGATTTGGTCTTGCTGTTAGGCAGGGCCTGGGTCTGAAAACAGGGCTTCTGAATACCCAAACCTCGGCCGCTACTGCGGAGATGTTCGGAAGGCGTCCCAGACTGCACTTCCGGACATCGGAGAATACAGGAGGGTTCAGGAAGGTGGGGATGCCTCCCTCAGAATCCTGACCCTGAGAAACCCCTCACGGGGAGAGGACAAGAGTGTAGGGACATCTCCTCTATGCTCAGGTCATCGGGACGAGGCCAGGGCTCCGGGCCCACGGCGAGAAACGAAAAAGAGTCCCTGACGTGGCCACAATTACGAGCAGGGAGTCCACGAGGCAAGCAGTGGGAAAGGCTGTAGGCAACAGAAGTCTTACCTTGTGGTGGAGCGGTTTCCTGGTCCGGCTTCAGATGAAGGAGTCAGTTTCCCCCAGGAGAGGTCTTACAACTCCTCCCAGGTTTCGGCACCATTGGTAAGGTTTATTCTCTGTGAGGTCTATTGCCGAGTTTAAAATGAGGAAACTGAGGCCTACATGAGAACAGTAGATGCCAGTTTATTCGGCTCCTGGGTGAGGTTCTATGGTCCAGGGAAAGGGGGCCAGAGAAGTTACACCTGACTTCTCTCAGGCATGGGGTTATATAGGGAGGGAAGGTGCTCTGATTGGCTGTGGAGAACAGGATATGGACGTGGCAAGCTGCTATAGGTAGGTAGGCAGGATTTCTGGTGAGCAGGCTGGATGGGGCCATATGCTATGGGGCAGGTTTTGCTGGGGCTGCTTTTAAATTTTGGTGGGGTTTTCCAACGGCTGGCTAGGTGCCGAGTGCAGAGTTTAGTGTCAAGTGCAGATCCTGGTGCTGAGTGCAGAGGGGATTTCCAACGGTGGGCTAGGTGTCAAGTGCAGAGCTGAGTGCAGCGGGGTTTTCCAAGGTGGGCTAGGTACTGAGTGCAGAAGTGGGCGTGTCTGAGCTCCCAGCGAGGCAGCCAGCCTTACAGGTACGCATTTGGAGTGGCTGGTACTGGTTGTTCCTTTCTATGTTTAGTGCCTCTTTCAGGAGCTCTTGTAAGGCAGGCCTGGTGGCAACGAAATCTCTCAGCAATTGCTTGTTCATAAAGGATTTTATTTCTCCTTCGCTTATGAGGCTTTAGTTTGGCTGGATATGAAATTCTAGGTTGAACATTCTTTTCTTTAAGGATGTTGAATATTGGCCCCCACTCTCTTCTAGCTTGTAGGGTTTCTGCTGAGAGATACGCTTTGAGTCTGATGGGCTTCCCTTTGTGAGTAACCTGACCTTTCTCTCTGGTTGCCCTTTGCATTTTTTCCTTCATTTCAACCCTCGTGAGTCTGACAATTATGTACCTTGGGGTTGATCTTGAGGAATATCTTTGTGGTGTTCTCTGTATTTCCTGGACTTGAATATTGGCCTGTCTTGCTAGGTTGAGGAAGTTCTCTTGGATAATATCCGGAAGAGTGTTTTCAGCTTGGATTCATTCTCTGTCACATTCAGATACACCTATCAAACGTAGATTAGGTCTTTTCACATAATCTCATATTTCTTGGAGGCTTTGTTCATTTCTTTTCACTCTTTATTCTCTAATCTTGCCTTCTCATTTCATTGAGTTGATTTTCAATCTCTGATCCTTTCTTCTGTGTGGTCAATTCAGCTATTGAAACTTATGTATGCTTTGTGAAGTTCTCACGTTTTTCAGCTGCATCAGGTCATTTATATTCTGCTCTAAGCTGTTTATTCTTGTTAGCATTTTGTCAAACCTTTTTTCAAAGTTCTTATTTTCTTTGCATTGGGTTAGAACATGTTCTTTTAGTTCAGAGAAGTTTGTTATTACCAACCTTCTGAAGCCTGTTTCTGTCAATTCATCAGACTCCTCCTTCATCCAGCTTCATTCCCTTGCTGGTGAGGAGTTGTGATCTCTTGGAGGAGGAGAGGTGTTCTGGTTTTGGGTGTTTTCATCGTTTTTGTGCTGGTTTCTTCCCATCTTTGTGGCTTTATCTACCTGTGGTCTTTGTAGTTGGTGACTTTCAGATGGGGTCTCCGAGTGTACGTCCTTTTTGTTGATGAAGTTATTTCTGTTTGTTAATTTTCCTTCTAAAACGCCCCTCTGCTGTAGGACTCTCGGATGTCCACTCCAGACCCTGCTTCCCTGGGGATCACCTGGGGCAGCTTCAGAACACTAAGGGTTTCTGCTGGTTTCTTCTTCTGTTATCTTAGTTCCAGAAGGATACCCGCCAGATGACAGCCTGAGCTCTCCTTTATGAGGTGTCTCTTTGGATATATGGGGGTCAGGAAGCTGCTTGAGGAGATGGTCTGACCCTTATAGGAGCTCAGGTGCCGAGCTGTGAGCACCATTCTTCTGTTTAGAGCTGCTAGGCAGGTACATTTAAGTCTGCTGCAGTGGAACTCATAACTGCCTTTTTTTCTCAGGTGCTCTGTCCTGGGAAGGTAGGGCTTTATTTATAAGTTCGTGACGTGCTGCTGCCTTTTTTCAAAGATGCCTTGCTCAGCTAGGAAGTAGCCTAGTCACAGGCTGCCAGCAGAGACATTGCTGAGCTACCGTGGGCTGTGAACTTCCTTGCGGTTTTGTTTAGAGGTATAGTTAGGACTGCCTTGGTAATGGCAGACGCCCTTCCCCTCATAGAGCTGGGCTGTCCTGGGTCCAGCTGTGCTTGCTGTGAAACTCTCAATCCAGATTGTTTCAGATTGCTGGTCTTTGTGGGGGTGGGACCCACTGAGCCAGATCACCTGGTTCCCTGTTTCAGCCCTCCCTTTTTTTTTTTTTTTTTTAGTTGAATGGGCAACTCTGTCTCCTAAGTGTTCCAGGCGCCAGTTGAAACAGCCACCCAGAATTGTGTGAGTTTTTGTGTGGGGAGACCCACTGCGCCAGCTGAAACAGCCATGCTGGAAACTTGTGGCGCTTTTCAGCCCGGGAATGTCCTGATCTGTGGGCAGTAATGGGATGATCACTCACCCTCTGCGTTGTTTTCGCTGGGAACTGCACTCCAGAGCTGTTCCTATTTGGCCGTCTTGGATCCGCACCCTGCGTTACAGTTTTTACATGTCAGTATTCTCTCATTTGGAAACTGGTTGTGCAGGTTTGTGAGCAGATTTGAACCTCCAGGGGGCAGCATTTACAAATGTTTTTCCAGCACTGAGGTACCTGTCAAGCAGAAATTGAGAGGTAGATGAAGGGCTATGGGCTCTGGGAATTCTGCCGCCCTAGTCTGCAGTCCTAACGTGGACCATGAGCCCCAGAAACTGTGTGTGTAAACTGGGGTTAGTAGTACACAATGCAGGAGAACTTGACCTGCAACTGCTAGTGGTCCTGGGGGTCTGCTGCCTGCTAAGAGGGCAGCACTAGTTGGCATTGTCTTTGCTATCCCCATTTCACAAATAAGGTACAGGAATAGCTACAGCAGGTCCATTGATCAGTGGAGCTTCCCAAGCTGGAATTGAGAGGCAGGCAGGGTTTTGCCTAGGACTTTGGACATTAGTGCAGAGCGCCAGGCCTGGGTACTGCCCTGGAGTGAAGAATCATGTGTAATTTCACAGGACATTTTAGAGGCCTCTAAGAAAGTGCTTTCAGGTTCTTGATAAGACTCATGTAGGCTGGGCGCGGTGGCTCAAGCCTGTAATCCCAGCACTTTGGGAGGCCGAGGCGGGTGGATCACGAGGTCAAGAGATCGAGACCATCCTGGTCAACATGGTGAAACCCCGTCTCTACTAAAAAAATCCAAAAAAATTAGCTGGGCATGGTGGCGCGTGCCTATAATCCCAGCTACTCAGGAGGCTGAGGCAGGAGAATTGCCTGAACCCAGGAGGCGGAGGTTGTGGTGAGCTGAGATTGCACCATTGCACTCCAGCCTGGGTAGCAAGAGCGAAACTCCATCTCAAAAAAAAAAAAAAAAAAAAAAGACTCACGTAAGAAGCTTCTATATGAATCATATATCTGTGTGTCACAAAGCTGAAAATGAAGCCATCATTTTGAGTGCATTTTTGGAAAACCAAGAAATATTTAGATATGAATAAAGTTCAATGATAAGACAAGCTATGAAAGTCAAAAGAGGCCTATTAATAGTGAAAATGAAAACTCATGTAAACCTTGCTCCCTTCCCAACACATGTGCAGTTTAACAGTTTGGTTGATTTTTTTACAAGAATGCACTTGCACTAATAGTATGCCACCAGCTTCTTGTTGTGCAGCATGTCTTAGACATCTTTCTTCGTCAATACATAAGGAGCAACCTCTGCCTTTTCACCAGTCTCCAGACTATGCTGAGCTTCTGAGAGCAGCTGCAGGGCAAGAGGGGCTCAAGGGACAGGGAGCTTGGGGGTAACGTGGTCCCAATCATCCATATGGGGAGGGGGATTGGAAAGAGAAGATGAGTACCTCACTTCCTTAAAGTGGGCTTTCAAAAAGCTCTTCACTAACCATCCAAGTGATCATCTCTTCTTTGGGTTAAATGGTTCCCAGTATTTAATTCTTGGAGCACAGCCTCAGAGTACTGGGAGGTGGCTTAGAATAGTTCAGTGTCACACATGGAGAAATATGTCCTTGGTGGCTTCTCTCCCAGCTGGGCCAAGGAGTGCTGGATATGTGCTAGGCATTTCAACCTAATCCAAATTGAGATATCGGTCCATAGGCAACGATGGTTCCTGTTGTTCTGCACCACCTCAGTAGCCTGTGAAGACTGGACCAGTTTTGTATTTTGTGAAACTTGAGAGAACATCTCTCACATTGTCCTTGCTTACCTTCCTGTTCCAGGATTGATACTGCCAAATGGAAACATTAACTGGAACTGCCCATGCCTTGGAGGAATGGCCAGTGGCCCCTGTGGGGAACAGTTCAAGTCGGCCTTTTCCTGCTTCCACTATAGCAAGGAGGAGATCAAGGGGTCAGACTGTGTAGACCAGTTCCGGGCCATGCAGGAATGCATGCAGAAATACCCAGACCTCTATCCCCAAGAGGATGAGGATGAGGAAGAGGAAGAAAAGAAGCAGCCAGCAGAACAAGTACAAGAAACAGCTCCCTCTGAAGCCACTGCAACCAAAGAAGAGGAGGGGTCAAGTTAATGACGGCCATGAGGCACTGGGCTCCAGTCCTTCCACTTCAGTGATATGGACCTTTTGCAAGATGCCTTTTAGTCACCTTTCAAGAAAGTGTCTTTCCCTCTGTTGTCCTGTGCACTGTAATATACAAAATAACTTATTTTGATGATCAGGGGTCTTGGCCTCTTACACTGAAAAAAATGGGGGTTGTGTGTCCTACCTAAACCTGTAGCCGCCACTTTTTGAAATAATGTGCTGAATAAGCTCAGCAACTAAAAACCATTACCCAGAAACCTTCCTTGTGAGTGAGCTGATATATTCTGATTCATTATATTCCTCTTACTAGATTTTATACCCCTTGGGGAAATAATAGAAACAAAAACATCTCTTAAAAATGCTGGGGTGGGGCCATATCTGCTAGCAGAGGCCAGATGGTCAGATACAATTTCTGCAAACCCATCTTGACCTTGAGTATGTCAAGGGGTACTGTACTTCATTCCTGATACATTTTGGTTTCCATGTTGGCGTTGACCTCCTGGTTTTATGTGTTTGGACAAAGAAGATTTGGGCCCTTTCACTTAGTCCCTTTCTAAGTGAAGGGAGAGGCTGATTAGCTCTCATTATTCCAAAAGCCCTAGTTTGGGGGCCGTGTTCACACTGGCTCTGTCTGGTCAGCTGCAATGTTCTAAAGAGGTGGGACCTAATTATTACCAGAGTAGCAGCAAGAAAGGAAAAGTTGTGAATTAAGTATTCAATTAAAAGGAAACCTGATTTCTACCTGATTTTGAACGTGTTCTTTGTTTTCACTAGTTAAAAATGTTTTTGATATAAAAAAGGTACAAATTATGAAAAATTCCATTGAAATTCCTCTTGAAAGATACTGGTAAACCAATTTGAGTCCGTTAAAATTTTTTGGGTTGAGTTCAAAGCAAGCTCACAGAAATAAAAACCATCAGAAACTGCTATGGACATTTCTATACACACACAAAAATAGAAAATCTAGAAGAGATGGATACATTCCTAGACATATACACTCTCCCAAGACTGAATCAGGAACAAATTCATTGCCTGAACAGACCAATAATGAGCTCCAAAATTGAATCAGTAATAAATCCTACCAATCAAAAAACAGTATGAGATGGATTCACAGTCCAATTCTACTAGATGTGCAAAGAAGAGATAGTTCCATTCCTACTGAAACTATTCGAGGAAATTGAGGAGGGACCCCACCCTAACTCATTCTATGAGGCTCACATCATCCTAATACCAAAGCCCGGCAACGACAAAACAAGAAAAGAGAAAACTTCAGGCCAACATCCTTGATGAACACGAATGCAAAAATCTTCAACAAAATACTGGCAAACTGAATCCAGCAGCACAACAAAAAGCAATCAAGTAGGCTTCATCTTGGGATACAAGGTTGGTTCAACATATGCAAATCAATAAATATGATTCATCACATAAACAGAACTAGAGACAAAAACCATATGATTATTTCAATAGATGCAGATAGGGCTTTCGATAAAGTTCAGCATACATTCACATTCATGTTAAAAACTCTCAATAAACTAGGTAGTTGAACATACCTCAAAATAGAGCTATCCATGAAAAACCCACAGCCAATACCATACAGAATGGGGAAAAACTGGAAACATTTCTCTTGAAAACTGTCACAAGAGTACCCTCTCTCACCACATAGTATTTATTGTTAGTCCTAGCCAGCACAATCAGCAAAGGAAAAAAAGGCACACAAACAGGAAGAGAGGAAGTCAAATTATCCATCTTTGCAGACACCATGATTCTATATCTATAAACCCCCATAGTTTCAGCACATAAGCTCCTTCAGCTGGTAAACAACTTCAGTAAAGTTTAAGGATACAAAAATTAATGTGTTAAAAATCACTAGTATTCATACACACCAACAAGAGCCAAGCCAAGAGTCAAACCAGGAATGCAACCCCATTCACAGCTGTCACACAAACAATATTTAGGAATACAGCTAACCAGGGAGGTGAAAGAGCTCTGCAAGAATCACATAACACTGCTCAAAGAAATCAAAGATGACACAAACAGAAGAATCAATATTGTTAAAATAGCCATACTGCCCAAAGCAATTTACAGATTCAATGCTATCCCTATCTAACTGCCACTGGCCTTCACAGAACTAGAAAAAACTATTTTAAAATTCACATCAAACCACAAAAGAGCCCAAATAGCCAAAGCAATTCTAAGCAAAAACAACAAAGCTGGTGGTATCACATTACCTGACTTCAAACTATACTACATGGCTACAGTAACCAAAATAGCATAGTACTGGTAAAGATAAATAAGTAAGAATAAACAGACACATAGACCAATGAAACAGAATAGAGAGGCCGGAAATAAGGCCACACACCTATAACCGTATGAGCTTTGACAAAGCTAACAAAAGCAATGGGGAAAAGGACTCCCAATTCAACAAATGGTGCTAGGATAACTGGTTAGCAATACGCAGAAGATTGAAACTCAACCCCCTTTTTACACCATATACAAAAAACAACTCAAGATGGATTAAAGACTTAAACGTAAAACCCAAAACTATAAAAACTCTGGAAGACAAGCTATGCAATACCATTCTAAACATAGGGATGAGCAAAGATTTCATGGCAAAGATGCCAAAGACAACTGCAGCAAAAGCAAAAATTGACAAATGAGATCTAATTAAACTTGAGAACTTCTGCACAACAAAAGGAACCATCAGAAGTGGAAACAGACATTCAGAATGGGAGAAAATATCTGCAGACTATGCATCTGAGAAAGGCCTAATATCAGCATATATAAGAAACTTAAATTTAGAAGGAAAAAAAAGTGGGCAAAAACATGGACAGATATTTTTCAAAAGAAGACATACATGTGGCCAACGATAAACTTTGTCAACGATACTGAAAAGCTCAATCTCACTGATCATTAGAGAAATGCAAATCAAAACCACAATGAGATACCATCTCACATCAATCAGAATAGCTATTACCAAAAAGTCAAAAAATAGCAGATGCTGGCAAGGTTGCAGAGAAAAGAGAACACTTATACACTGTTGGTGGGAGTGTAAATTAGCCCAACCATTGTTTAAAGTGGTGTAGTAATTCCTCAAAGAGCTAAAAGCAGCACTATCATTTGACTCAGCAATCCCATTACTGTGTATACACCCAAAGGAATATAAATCATACTACCATAAAGGCACATGCACATGAACGTTCATGCAGCACTATTCACAATAGTAAATACATGGATCAACTTAGATGCTCATCAATGACAGATAAAGAAAATGTGGTATATATACACCATGGAATATTATGTAGTGATAAAAAAAAAGAATGAGATCATGTCATTTGCGGAAACATGGATGGAGCTGGAGGTCATTATCCTCAGCAAACTAATTCAGGAACAGAAAACCAAATACTGCATGTTCTCACTTATAAGTGGGAGCTAAGCAAGGAGAACTCCCACACACAAAGAAAGGAACAACAGACATGTGGGCCTATTTGTCGGACAAGTGGGAGGAGGGAGAAAAGCAGAAAAAAGTAACTATTGGGGACTAGGCTTACTACCTGGGTGACAAATAATATGTACAATAAACTCCTGTGACACGAGTTTGCTTTTTCGTTCCTTTTATTCTGACACAGCTTGCTCTGTTGCCCAGGCTGGAGTGCAGTGGTGCAATCTCAGCTTATTGCAACCTCTGCCTCCTGAGTTCAAGGAATTCTCCTGCCTCCGCCTCTGGAGTAGCTAGGATTACAAGCATGCACCAACATACCCATCTAATTTGTATTTCTTTAGTAGAGACGGGGTTTCACCACATTGGCCAGGGTGATCTCAAACTCCTAAACTCGTGATCTGCCTGCCTCAGCCTCCCAAAGTGCTAGGATTACAGGCATGAGCCACCACGTCTGACCATGAGTTTACTATATAACAAACCTGCACATGTACCACTGAACTGAAAGAAATCAAAATAAAATATGTTATCAAAGAATTAAAAATAACAGCAAAGAGGATAATACAAGAATTAACCCAGAAAACCAGATTATAGACATACAGAATACACTAGCCTGAAAACACAGCCACATGACTCAAAAAAAAAAGACAGCAACTCAAGACAAGCACTTAAACCTAGAAAGTCTGATGGAGAAGTTCTAATATGCATAGAGATTGGTATGAAACAAACACACAGAGGCCATAATCAGCAAAGTGACCTTGAAAGTTTCCTAGAATTGAATGACACTCTCTGTAAAGGATGTTAAACAGTCAAGGTGCTATACGTTTTTTTGTTGTTTTAAATGAGGAATTGAAGCCCACATTATAAATAGCAGAAATAATCCCAGGTAGTTTTGAAGATTAAAGAACCATTAAAAATTCTTATGAAGATATTTACTGAGAAGTAATTTACAAACCAGAAAATTCATCCTTTTAAAGTATAATATTAAGTGGTTTTTAGTATATCCACAGAACCATACACTTGAAAGTTGAAAGAAACCTTAAAAATTATCTTACTGTTTCCCAAAGTATGTTCTATGGAACCCTTCTAGCCCCCTAGGCTACTGTATATATGGAAATTTTTCTGGTCAAATTAATTCATTAAACACTGCCAACCTGCATACTCTATATTTCTCTGAAGAACCACAGAGAAAAACTAAAGTCTCTAAGAAGTTCCAGGATATCCCAATTAACCTGACACAGAACCTATTTTCATGGAACATGTACTAACAGCCCATGAAATCAGCGCTACAGAGAAAGTGCTTCAGAAAACGCTGGTGGATTCCAATCCCCTGGCATTCCAGGTTAATAAAAAGGGCACCAGAAGCCCCACGGGCTTGACTGATAACTCACAGCTCTTTTGAACTGTCTGATGTGAAAGCAACCATTGGGAGGTATATTTTTACTGTTTATGGCAGAGCTAAAACCAGAAACCAGAGCTCCAGACTTCTAGTCCAATGTTCTCTCTAAAACATGACACAGCAAAATCCAAAGCTCTGATTCACGATGTAAATAAATTCTCAGGGCTACATTCTCTTTAACAAACCACAGAGAAATGAGGACTGCTAACTAAAGAAAGAAAGATATGCACAGATTTAAGGAGCTAGTGTGCCTTAACATTGTAAAGAAAATCTAATAGAAATCCTATATGATACAATGATAACATATAAAATTTCATAGAAAAGTTCTCAGCAAGGATTAAGTAGGAAATGTTATTTTCTAAAATTAGGCTCTATATCACCCCTCAAAGGGAATTCACCCTATACCTATTAGCACTAGAAAAGTGAGCAAGAAAAAATACTTGGAACATGCACTGCATAGATATGAGAAACTAATATTTACCAGAAAAACAGGTAAAACAAGTAAAACTAAGATCTTTTAACCTAATATTAAGAAAAAGCCTACCCAAAAATATGTAAGCACAGACACATACAAGAATAAATACAACCTTGAAAGGCAATGGAAAAAAATACACATGCATCATGCACTCAATTATAGATGAGTGAAGAAGCTAAACTCCTCTATGAGAAAGGAAGTTCACTGATTAGATTGAGAAACAAAATAGAGCAATCTGTTCCTTCCCAGGTTACCCGATTCCACCTGCCCCACAGAGATCAGATCTTTTCAGTCTATGTGGCTTTTCTCCATTCCGAGTTTGTATGTAGGCTCATCCCTCATGCCCTTGAACATTTAAGAGCAAATTAATGTAAGAAAATTACCTTTAACTGAAAACTCCTACTGACTCTTCAGGAACCAGCCAAAACAGCCCCAC